AAGACTGTTGAAGAAAATAAAAACAGAGGAGACGGAAACTTAAAAGAATGCCTAATCGATGCGGCTGATGGTTTAACAACTTGAGGAGACTACGCTTGAATAATCGAACACATTTCCTCCTTTTTATTTTTCAAAGGCAAGACAAAATCTATCCTAAATATTTTTTTTCCCTTTCTCTTTCTCTGCGTAAATAAAAGCCTATGTTATTAGATGTGTATAGGGCCAAAGATGAAAAGGAAATGTAGAGCTAATTTTGAAAAGATGAGGTCGATTCATTTAATAATATGGTCAACCAAGTACATGAGTTGCAAATATCCTATTTTATACAAGTACATAAATATATATCTTAGTTGATATCAGTCATATAATAATTCATTTAACTAGATAATTATGAGTTTATCAAATAACTTATAATTTATATCGGTAACATATGATTAACTATAAATAATTTAACTAGATTACTATGAATTTATCAAATAACTTATAACGTATGTCAGTAAGATATGATTTACATAGTTAACCAAATAAATAACCATAACTGTTATAGTTGATATTATAACCGATCAGACTGAAAACAATATAATTAGACATTAATCAATAGCTACTAAAATTATGTTATATTTGTATCGAGATAACAATATTTGTATTAGATAATATTATACTTATCCAGTCAAAAACATTGTATTAGATAATATGCTCACAACACCTCTTCCTCCACGAACCTTTGTCTTTGTTCCTCTCTTCTTCTTCTTTTTCTTCTTCTTCCTCCTCTTCTTATCTTTCTCTCTCTCATCTATCTCTCAGCTACGTAATATTTTTCTCATTCTTCGATTATACTTTAAATTTTTGATTTTCGATTATACAACACGATTGATGCTTTATTAACCAAGGGAGGCGACGTTTCAATTATCGAACCACTTATCTTCTTTTTATTTTCTCAAGACAGGATGAAATCTATCCTAAAGATTTTTTCTGATTTCTCTGGGCAAATGAAAGCCTACAGACTAAGAGGTATATAGGGCTAAAGTTAAAAACAATTTGAGAACTTATTTTGAAAAGAAGAGATCGGTCTACTTAATTAATCGGTCAATATAGACGATAACAACAATGGTTTTCGTCTCAATACATGACGAGTAGAACGCATGTTAAATCACATTTTTCAAACTTAATAATAGCAAACCCATAACATTTTACCCAAATTTTTGGTTAAAAAATAGAGGCAATTTCATAATTGATTCTATACTTATTTAAGATAATAGTATTCAACACAGAGCACGTTTGCATATATTTTCTTGCAGATGTAGAATCTAACATTTGGTAAAGACATATCTAAATACTATAAATACATCTAAGACCATATCTAAAATGTTATAATTCATTTACACATATGAAAAGAAAAGAAAAAAAAATAACATTAGGTGGATTTGTTCTTGTTTTTATTAGAAACTGAAACTCAATAGTACTGTGTCACTTGCCATTTAGCATTTCCCATTAGTTATTTATAAACCGACAATTAACAAAACTTGCCAAAATTTAAAGGCAAGAAAAGACATAAAATTATACGTGGACATCACATGTTTGACACATCGGAAGTTATGTTTTTATATGTTCGTTTGCATGTAAAATGTGTCCGTCTCATTTAATTTTCGTGCCCACTAAACTATAAACTCTATATAATCAAATGATTTTATTTTGGAATTATATATGCCAGAAGAAAATCTATATTTGTCAAGTAAAATGTATTTGAAAGAACACATTTTTGGTATAACCACGTTAATTGATACAACACATTTTTTTTTCTTGCGACTAAAAGTTTTGGAAAAACAGAAATCAGTTTCAGTTCTTTCTTACACTTTTCCTGAAAAGAAGAAGAAAAAAAAACAAAATCAGAATAATTAATTATTGGCGAAATATCTAACAAGAAAAAATATATATACGTATGTAACATAGCGCGTGACTAAGCGCGTGCTAGGTGAGAGTGGGGAAAGTTAGAATCTCAAAAAATGATGTCATTCATCTGCATGACTGACAAGAAGTATTATTTGGACAGAAGCGGTCTTTAAAAGATCGAAGCACATATTCTTCTTCAACGTGATTCCACTTTATACGTATGAAATGAACCTTTCATTTATTGTTATTAAGAAATTTACGTGATATTCATGTATCTTAATTACCATAAAATATCTCACCTCAATAACTACAAGTTTCATTTTATATAGATCTTAGTGGATTTTCATATTATTTGGTCAAATTTAATACAATAGGTTACAAGTTGCAACATCTTTTACATGGAAGAAGATTCGACATCAACCTCAAATTAACTTTAATTATATAGTTATTAACTTGTTATATAGAAAACAAAATGGTCTTCTAAAGAAAAAAAAAACAAAACAAGATGGTCCTTGTATATATAATATTTTAGGGGGAATTTCAAATAAAGTACAAAATTATGTAGTGGCGTTAAACCATTGTTGTATGATATACATTATACTGAGACGATAACATAGAATATATATAATTAACTATACCTATTAGTAACTTTATAAATACAAAAACTAATATAACATATCAGATTCTTATTTTTAAAATAGAAAAATAGAAAATTGATGTAAATATATATAATAGAAAATTATGTATAAAATAAAATTTAACATGGGAAGTAGCACGAATACATATATAATATAAAGTAATCTCACAAGGAACATTAAAAAAAAATTGGATAGGAAAATTTAATAAAGAAACCTCATGAAAATTTGACTATTAATACAATATTCCAAAACAATTTCTCAAAATTTTTAATAATTACATCAAAAATTAAAGAATGGTATTTTAGTTTGGTCCTAGTGTTTTTGGTTTACATTTTTGTATATAGTGATGATATAGAAACACTATTGATTGTCTCTTAAGACATAACTAATCGGGAAAATAAAACAATTCATTTATCCTAAGAGATTAATTAAATATTTCATTCAAAATACTATAGTTTTGGTACTTACAATTAAACAAAACAAACATTAAAAGTTGAGCCCTCCGTGGTTCATATATACAGAAGGAATATCTCGGATCCATTTTTGGTATCAACGAATAAGTTGTTAATTATATATTTAATTATATCTACTAGAGTGGTTTAACGTGGATTTAAATATAACCACGCAAAGATAATATAGCTGTTGAATCTTTTTGTTTTATTAAATTACCGACCATCGAAACGTATTTCAAGAATTCGAACAAAAAATAATGCGATAGGGACTTATGAAATTACTAATTATTTATCTTTTTCTTACCAAAGCATTTTAAAAACTTTAGAGATCCTTTGGTCAAGTGTCACTAATATTAGACATTCAAATGGTAAGTAGTACATCGAGTTACTAGCTATTAATATAATTGATTATTTGGTTGGAATAAATTTAATCTATTTGATATAAGTCAATTACAACATATATACTATGTGACATCTCACAGCTAAAAAAATTTGATTGATTATTCATGTTTTTGGTTTAATTATAAGCTAGCGCAAGTAACTAAAAAAAACCAAATATATATTAAAAATCATTTCTATCTTAAATATCCTTAACTATACGCTATTAAATGAATTATAAGCTCATACAAATATTTGAAAAAATCGAAAAAAATATTTTCATCTCGAGTATGACTAATTAACTACACTAAATTGAACCCAAATTTTTTTTTTTCTTGTTTGATATTGTATTGACGAGGCTTGATTTAGAGCCAAATCTCTACTACGTACACAGAGTAACGCTGTTTAATAAACCTAAACTCCTATAAAAAATGTTGAGTCTAGTGGACTTAACTAATAGACTAAAGATACATCCCAACCCAAGACTTATTTTAAGAAAAGTCTCATACATTATTATTCCATTCGAACTTGCATTTTAGCATCAAGAAGCTGAAAAAGCTAGCTAGAGCTAGAGAAAGGAGAACAAACTATTCAAAATAAAATTCTAACTATTAAAACAGTAGTCAATTTATAAGGGTTTGATATATAATGACTCTTTTAAATAAATCTAACACAAATTGTTATTACTAAGCCAAAGAAAAAACAAATGTGTGCATCTCACTATCTTGTACAATAAAAGCTGGGACTATTCATGCACTTTTCTTGAGACAAGATGAAATGCATCAGTACTGTAACAAATTAACAAAGCACACTTACTTTGAAAATGTCTTAGATAAGAACTTGAATACACGTAAAATGAAAGTATGTTAACGAGTGGTAGTATTATTTCATTGTAATTATTTAAAATAATGTTAGATGCTATATACCAATTGTAAATTTATGATATTTTATAGTAAATGAATTTCAACTAGGTCTTATAGATATAACCCTTGAAATAGACCCTGTTAACAAATGTTTATATCAAATCAAATGTTATTTAAACTTGTTACACTCTGTCATCGTATAAATCAATAGATCTAAAACACCTAAAGAGAGAGGACATTTCACAATCAAACTCTTACAAAACCTATCCCAATGATTCTCTGAGTGACCTTAAATGTTTCTTACGTGGTGCATGTTTATTTGTTTTTCAACTTCCTCCATTCAAAATTATCTATGTTATCAATCATAACTAAACATATAAATAAGAAATACTATAAAAAAAATGTAAGATATCTTTGTATATTAAATGTACACGTAAATACACCGTATGTACATAAAAAATACGTAAAGAAGCTGAGCTATAAGTTAAAGTCCTTTAAAAGGGTTCAAACTTCAAAGTCATAATAAACAATCAATGAGACATATATATATATATATATATATATATATATAATGTAGTGTGTGTGTACATAAAGGTAGTCTCACGTCTCTATAATAAGCATGACTCGTCACGTGACCTTTTCCTCTTCGCAGAGACAGAGATAGGATGAGACAGAAAGATACCAACAAAACCAAAACCCCAAAACCCAAGAAAAAGAGAAAACACACATACACACACACACTTCTCTCTCACCTCTCTCTCTATTTAAGAGACTTCACTGTCTCTCTCAGTCTTTTAACGCAAAAACAACTTTTGTGGAGGAGAGAAAGCGAGATAACACACACTACACACACCACACAACACCACACAGAAGATATATACACATCTTTTCAATAGTTAAGAGTTTTCTATATACAGAAGCAAGTAAGAGAAAAGAGAGAGACTGATACAAAAGTTAATATCTATCTATCTATCTATCTATCTCTACTTCTCTCACTTGAAGAAGACTTCTCTTTTTTCCTCTGGGTTTTGTGGTGGGGGTTTTGTCTCTATAAAAACATATATTTATATAAATTATATAAATAAATAAGAAGGAATTATCAGGTTTTATATAAAATAGCAAAAGAAATGCAACAGCACCTGATGCAGATGCAGCCCATGATGGCTGGTTACTACCCCAGCAATGTTACCTCTGATCATATCCAACAGGTTCTCTTCTTCTCCTTCTCCTTCTTCTTCTCCTTCTTCTTCTATTATATTATCTTTTTTTTTCTTTTTCTTTATTATATGTTTCTTGAATTCTAAATGATAAACTATCTTGCAAAGTTCATATATAACAAAAGTACTTTATAGAGTATAAACCCTTTTCTTTTGTTCTTATAACATATATGAATGATGGGTTTCTTTTTTAAATGATATTTTGTTTTGGTTATTTTTGGTTCTTGTTTCTATGTTTTTCTTAATCTATGTTATGTCTGATAAATCTTGGTTGGTAAAGATGCTTTTTGGTTCTTTTGTTTTGTGTGCATCAGCTTCTGTTTCTTTTATGATTCTTTCAGCTTTTTTTTCTATGTTTTTCTTGTCCACAAAGGTTTGGTTCATCATTTGTTATAATGAAAGTTTTAACTTTTTCTTTTGTCAATTAAATTGCATAAAACTGGAAACAAAGCTTAGGAAAGGTTCTTTCTTTTGATTTTAGGGTCCAGTTGTTTTGAGTTCTTGAAACATGTAATGGAAAAAATAATGTGTTTTCAAAACAGACAAATCTTGGGAACTGAAGATTGGTTTTTTCACATATCTCGTTTTTTTTTGTTTACTTCTTGTCTTGGTTTTCGGGTTCTGGAAGTTTTCATTGATGGCAAAAACCACAAAACCATTTATGTGTGAATATGGTGGTCCTGTTTTAGATTTGTTATCATTAGATCTATGTGTATAATTTTTCTAGTCCAAGTGTTCCTTTTATTGCTTACATGACCAGATATACTTAGTGGTCCGATACAACATCTGGTCCTTATCTCAGTTCTTTGGTGTGGTCCTCAAAATCTTTTCGAAGCAAATCTTTCTTACACTTTTGTGATGTTTCAACATTATTGTCTTTTGATAAGTCGGAATCTAAAGTTTACTGGGGTCTCTTTTGAGTCTTTCTATGTCTTTTATTCACACAACAACAAAATATAATAGATTGCAAAGTTTTTGTTTGATTGTAGTACTTGGACGAGAACAAATCGTTGATTCTGAAGATTGTTGAGTCTCAAAACTCTGGAAAGCTTAGCGAGTGTGCCGAGTAAGAGCCAACATATATATGTCTACTTGATGCTTTCACTTGTGTTCTGTTTGAAAAAATGAGTAATGGTTATAATTTGAATGGTTACAGGAATCAAGCAAGGCTTCAACGCAACTTAATGTATTTAGCTGCAATAGCTGATTCTCAGCCTCAGCCTCCAAGTGTGCATAGCCAGGTAAAAATTAGTTTATTCAGTAAGTTTTGTTGTATGGAAGTTGAGAAACTGATTTGTATTGTTGTGTTATTAGTATGGATCTGCTGGTGGTGGGATGATTCAAGGAGAAGGAGGGTCACACTATTTGCAGCAGCAACAAGCTACTCAACAGCAACAGATGACTCAGCAGTCACTAATGGCAGCTAGATCTTCAATGTTGTATGCTCAACAGCAGCAGCAGCAGCAGCAACAGCCTTACGCGACACTTCAGCATCAGCAATTGCACCATAGCCAGCTTGGAATGAGCTCGAGCAGCGGAGGAGGAAGCAGTGGTCTCCATATCCTTCAGGGAGAAGCTGGTGGGTTTCATGATTTTGGCCGTGGGAAGCCGGAAATGGGAAGTGGTGAAGGCAGAGGAGGAAGCTCAGGGGATGGTGGAGAAACCCTTTACTTGAAATCATCAGATGATGGGAATTAAAAAGAGTGTGTGTGTGGCACAAGGAAGCTTAATGATGAAGCAGCAGCAGAAGAAGAAGTAGTAATAGTAGGAGTCTTGAAGTTAGTGTGTTTTGGTTTAGTTGCTTCTTGAAGAAGCAAAGAACTCTTTATTTACCTTTTTAGTTTTGTTATTTGCTCTATGTTTGTGCCCTAAAAAATGAACCTCTTTCGTGGTGTAATGTACCATGTAAATCTGCTGGCTCCAAGTTGTGTCTTAATTAATTAATCTTAGTATGTTATTTCTCTTTAGCCTGACTCTTTTGTTTCAACAAGGACTGAGTTGTAAGTATCAGAACCGTTTTGTAGCCATGTTGGAATTTGAAATTGGTTCGGTTTAGTTGGAATGTTTAGGGTAGCTGAGTGTAAACTAATTTAAACCGTATCTTTTATTGTCCAACTCTCTGATAAAGACACAAGCGATCAATCAGGTATGCAATATGTTTCATTTATCATAGTCGTTTGTAGCAATTAGTCCGAGTGTACCGAACACAACCGGTCCCGTACAAGACTTATGTTACTTGCCATAATAGTCCTGTCAAGGGCCCATACTGCTGAAGACATGACCTGGACCGACCCATAGCCACCCCCGAAGCTATATAATATTCGGGTCCATTTGAGAAAACTACCCCATCCGACCAATCATTAATTCATATGGCCAACGGCCTTATAAACCTCTCTTTTCAATTGTCACATTATCACAAAGTATAGTTTCCTTCTTCATGCCATATGAACATTTGTACGAGTGTCAAAACCAAGCTTAGTATAAAGGTTTCGTTATTATTCATGTTCAGCGGCCAATGCCTTTTATACATACATACGTATAAACCTAAGTACTAATTATACATAAGTCTATACTCTATTACATAATAGAACCTATCCCTCTTAATACCCTCCCTCAAGTTGGAATATGTATGTAGATCACACATACCCAACTTGAAGAAAAAATCATCAAACTCCTTGCGTCCAAAAGCCTTAGTGAGGATATCAGCCAGCTGGATCAATCTCATCACGGATGAAATGACAATCTCTCTGTATATGCTTTGTACGCTCATGTAACACCGGATTACGACTGAGATGAATAGCCGACTGGTTGTCACAATGGAGAGGTATAGTATACGGGCAATCAACACCAAGTGTAGATAGAAGTTCCCGCAGCCATAGCAATTCACTTACAAGCCGAGGAGTGAGAAACTCTAACTTTTTTTTTTTAATATTGTCACATTATATACTTTGTAACTAGGTTCGGACCCGCGCTACAGCGCGGGGGAAATAATTAACTATATATAACTTTTAACGGATTAGGATATGTTACATTTTACTTTTATTGCAATGTAGTCGATTACAGTGAATTATATATTTGTATAATAAGTTTAAATAAAATAATAAACAAAAAAGCGAATAAATAATAATACATTGAGTTTTGATACAATTAAAAAAACGGTGAAAAGTTAACAGCACGAAAAAAACAAATTATTCAATTGACTATTTTTGTAGTAGAAGTAGAAATATGCGTAAAAATTACATACTTACAATATTTTTTATGAAGTATCAACCCGTAACATAATTCATTTTGTAAAAACCGTTATTCATAACTCAATTTACCATTATAATTGTGATTTTAACAAACTACCCGTGAACTATCTAAAATTTACATAGTTTGATATATAATATATTTTATCAAT